TCATAGAAAAGACTGAGTGTATGTTTTTTATTTTTGTCTTCTGCCTTGTTGCTGAAATGTGCCATACAAATAACTGAGTAATATTGTTGATTATTGCAATTGTGGAAAACTAACAGCATAGAAAACATTTTAATCTTCCTGTGAGGCAAAGAAACTATTCTGAATCTCGTGCAGATGCATTTAAAATGTTGTTTCTCTGAGTGTCTTCTGAAATGATTTGCCTCTTCAGCATCCAAACGTCATGTGCAAATTAAAAAACCGCTTTGTCACCGTCATGTTCTCTGAATAAAAGAAAGGGAGAAGGCAGAGATAAGGCCCGTCCAATCTGGGTTGCAGAACAGGCAAATGAAAGCAAGGGCTTGTCAAACAATGTGGGATGCCGTTTCCACTTGATTTCACAGCGACCGTATTAAGAAAATAAAACAGCAGACTGAGAGGACCGATTAATGTGACAACTGCAGAGCGAGACAGTAGGAGGAGAGGAAGGAGGCAGAAAATGACAGGGGAAAATAAGACAAGGAGGAGAGTTATAGCAGGAGAGACTGTGAGGGCGTGAAAGTGGGGAAGGAAAGTTGAACATGAGAAAAATGAGATGCTGCTTTAATCCTAACGACCAATAAGACTGTCAGCAAGCCAGAACATACTGTTCTAAGTATCTCCATCACTCTTCTCCTTCTCCAATCTGCCACGTTTTTTGTTCCTTCGACTTTACAGTTTCATTTCATTCCAGCGTTCATCTTCTTTCCATCTGCCTCTCATCTCACTTTTTGACCTTAAATTTCACCCTGAGGCCAGACGTTTTATTGGAGATAAGAGAGAACTGCAGGAGCCTGTGCAGAAAATAGCGCGAGAGTCTGTGAAAAATGGGAGCTTTAAAATGCTTAGCAGTGTTTGCTCTGACCCACTGACAGATTTACCAGCTAATATGAACACAGCTAAACTGTTTATTTCTCCGTTCAGCTGTGGCTTTTGGTAATAAACTAATTTCTTGCCTGAATATAGTCTTTCCATCATGAAATCTTTTTTTTCAAATATGTCATTTTATGCATATTTACCACTGGAAACAAATGAGCACATTTACATAAGAAGCTGCACTTATGGAGATGCAGGATCATTTTTGTGTTTGGCTTTGATGCTGCATAGCGCTTTTGTTTTCATCACAGGCTTAATAAGCCAGAATCCCTGAGGTACAAAACTAAAAAGACTGCAACAGATAACAGCCTGTGATGACACGTAAAGGGAGGATTCTTGATTGCTACGGTAAAATGGCCATTGTTGTTTACGTGTTTGATTGCTTGGAGAGCTTTGACCTTCAACAACTTGCCCTCCACTCTTCACATCTAGAAAAGAAGCCAATTAATAACTGAAGCCAAAAAAAGCTGCTCCATAATGGAAATCCCCCCTACTGTCTGCAGACAAATTTCCAGTGTAAGAGAAAGTTTAAAGGAGGATTAAATCCATTTAGCTCCTCACTTTGTTGGTGAAAGTATTGGTGAAATGGATAAAGTCACATAACCGTGCGCTGGTCTCACATTACAGTCAGAGAGCATAATTATCAAACATCTCAGACTCGCTGCAGGGAGTCGAAATCAGAGTCAATCAGTCCGACTTCAGAGGGGAACTTCAGACATGTTCATTAAAGTTTCTAGACTTTCAATAAAGTAAATCAAGACTTTTCTCTCCTTGACAATCAGACCTATCTGGAGAAGTAATGTATGACCAACACAAAGTGGCCCATTTCTTTAAAATGGATGATAAATTACACTGGTTGTTATATATTTTTAAAAAGTGTGGCATTAGCACTAGCATTAGCATTAAGCTCCTCTGAGTCAATCATTTTTAGATCCACTCTCCATCTGGTTGAAGCTTCTGCGGTTTGAACAGTTTTTGACCCTAAAAGTTTTCAAGTCCACAGGTATATAAACTATCTGTATGACTGCATGTCTGTCTGCAGCCATTTTTACATGTTTACATAAAGCAGGGGTGTCCAAAGTGTGGCCCAGGGGCCATTTGTGGCCCTTTGGCTGATTTTGTGCGGCCCCCAACTGCAATTCAAAACTGATACAAATTTGGCCCATAGATGCAGGTGGAGAGTAAAATTATCATCAATTATTATTAATTTTCTTACAATATATTCACCTTTTTTATGACTGAGCTATAAGAAAAGGTAAAACTACCTTTATTCAGGTTTTTACTGAAAAGCGACCAAAATGTATTTTTTGTTAAACCTGACTAAATATTGTGAGCGTTTTGAAAGAAATGCTCTTCTTATTACTCAAAATAATATTCAATCTATTATTTCTTTTAATACAGCAAACATGCAAAATCTACTACAGCATATCAGGGCCGTTGCAGACACAAAACGAACATAAATATATGGGAAAAACTTCAGAAATTTCAAAGTTTTTTCTAGAAAATTTTTGAGATTAATCACTAAATTTCTGAGTTTTTTTGGCAGAAATTTACTCCACCTTTTTTTCCTGGTCTGTAAAGCTCCTAATTGTTAAAATCCCTTTCTAGCTTTGGATCTAGAATAAATTAAAAATAAAAATTGGGCTACTGTATGTGGTTGATTTTAGTTTGTGTGTTTTTGGCCTATGTGAGGAAAACTTTTCACACCTCTAAAATAAAGTATCGTTTTTCTTCAGCTCATCGATTCTGACATATTTTGTTTTGGTCCCAATAAAATGGGACAAAATGTGTAACATTAACAGAGTATGGCGACTGTTTCTGCTTGAAAAGATGTTCTTGTTTAAAAGGACAGTGCTCCACATTAAAGAGAGCAGGTCGAAGCCTAACAGCACAGAGCTCACATTTACATCTTTTCCCATGAGACATGAACGCAGCATGACCCTCAGGTGAGAACTGACCAATAGGAGAGCAGATTACTGACCTCTGGGCCTGAAGTCGGCCCTTGATTAATAGACTGAGCAGAAGATTTATGAGGAAGAGGGAAAAAGACAGAAGGAGGTTGTGAGCGCATGTCTTTTTCTATTCTTTGCCACAAAACAATAAAAAATCTTACTCAACACCACACAGATAAACTGATGGAGGATTTGTTTTCCTCTCTGGTTTGACACCCAACTGTGTTTCCAATGACTATTTAATTGCGTAATTTGACATTTTGGAAATAAATCTGCTGAATGGAAACAAGCCAATTTTAAAAAGTATATTTTTTTGGATGAAAAGTGTTGGTGCTGGTATGATGCAAGTTTATTTTGGTCGCATCAAAAACAACTTTGATAGAAAATCAACAACCAGATGTTGTCACTGGCAAAAACCACGACAACAGAAAGTCAGTCCGGAGGATGACGATGCACCATGTTTTTATGATTTATCGGGTTGTACATCTTTTCACGTTGATCAGGATTTCACAAATGTTTTTGTTATTTTTGTGCTGATTTTTTGGAGCTAATATAAAAATATTTTCAGTATTTTTGCTTATGTATGACATTAATGTGACTTTTAGCTGCCTGCCACATCAACGACTGGACATGAAGTTAGGCTGAGGTAAGAAATACTGCCACCTGCAGGTGGGAGTTAGCATCACTTACACCAACGTATTGATGATTTTAATAATGGTGCTTGATAAAATGCAATATAATGCCTAAGCCAACAGACACGCTACAACAGACCAAACTGCTGAAGAAGGTAATGATGGTTCTGATGGGAAAGTGCCAAACTGCTCGCCAGGTTTTCCAAAAGTCACAACAACGGGAGTCCCAGAAGGGAAGCCCAGAACAACAAATTTACAAAAGTTACCAAATAATTTATGAGCTATGAAGTGACAATCAATAAAAAACCTTTTTTTAGTGAGTGGTAATGTGTTTTTTTTTCCCCAGGCAGCAGCAATCTGCAGCTGAGCGGCACAACTTCCCCCAACAGACACTTTCAGCCTGTTATTCATAACTATAAACTCGCTCCCTGTTTATGAGCCTCTTCAAGCTTCTTGTTTACATATTTATAGATACTTTATTATTTATAAAGTATTTCTGGTAACGCTGTCTGCTGGTTTATTCATTCAAGCTTAACAGACAATACATATCTACATATCAAACTCAATATCTTTAGAGAGGCAAAGAGAGAAAAAGAAAAGTTATGCAACATATAATTAATGCTGCCGAAAAAAGGGAAACTTGTGAAGAAATCAGAGGATGATACAAAAGGAGAATTGTTCATGGCCTTATCAAAAATGTAATTATTAAAGAAATTCACATTGATGCAAACAACTTGAGTCTTAATATGTACAGTTTATAAAACTGAACAATCATATAGAGCCAGATCCTAGGTTGTTTTTATTTAGTTTGTTTTGAATGCAGGTTTCAGTTGATTTCCTTTTTGTTTTGGCAGAAAGTGCAAACTGGAGTTAAACCCAACTCTTTTTAACTTCTAAATGCAAAAAAAGTCACATTTTTAGACCTAAAGGATCAGCTATGAACGCATAAAACCAGTTGGTACTTATGATGCATTGAGGTCAAGGGTCAACTTCATCCTGAAATCACCTTTCAGTCTTCCAGAAAAAAGGGAAACAAGTTTAAAAAGAAGGAGGAGTAAGTTTCTGATTCTTATCCAGCCCAGCAGAGCCATGCAGACACACACTGCATCTTTTCTGAGTAACTACGTACCCTGCTGACACTCGGGGCAGCATCGGCCTTCCTTTACGACAGCCAGACTTCCTGGCGGGCAAGTGGGGCAGGAGCGCAGATAACAAGTCACCCGGGTATTGTGGCATTCACACTCGCGGCAGCTGCCATCGGTCCAGCGAGCCCGATTCTGAAAGAAAACCCAGGACTTCGTTAATTAAACCTTAAACAAGTGACAGAAAGCAAAGACTACGCTAATTTTAATTTTTAATTCAGAGGGATCTCAATTGCATCTATAAAACAGGGACATTCCTGAATTTTAATTAGTTTTATTTGAGAAAAAGCGTAACACTCGTGACTTTTTAGGCGTTCTGAAAACAGACAGAGGGAATCAAGGGGAAAGTTACACCAGCAGCAACTTCAGCGTCAAAACACAAAGAAAAAGTAAAATGTCTAAAGAATAAAACTTTTCAAACTTTATCAACTTAAAGTCGAGAAATAAGACACTATACATATTAAAATACAGTGAATTTTTTCCTCCAGCTGCCTGCCTTTATGCACCGCTTTCATTTATTACTCATTTCAGTTCCTGAGCGGCACAGACTGTATGACCCTGAATGAGTAATAGAATTAAACTTATATAATACTCCTTATTCCTAATAGCTCACCAGATGAACTGAATGATTCAGAACCAAACATCCAACTAGATTCAACACAGCAACATATTTTCATCACTCACAAACAATAACATGTTGTATTCAAAGAGTTTTAGATATGCAGTAAAGAGAAGTGAGTCTACAGTAACGCACGAGTCGAGGTTTACTTTCTGTTCTCCACTGACATCTTAAGAAGCCATATCTGCACCAAGCCTGTGCAAACATCTGCTAAGACAACTTTGTGTCATGATGTGTGGATGAGGTGGTGAGGAGAGATGCAGAGACCCAGGTTGTGATGAAGATGATGATTTAATGATAAATATCCAGAACAACGGGGAGCACAACGAACACACGACTGCACAGGGAAACGGGCTAGTACACATTTTAAAAATGTCATTTGTCTTTTATTACTAAAACTTTGTGTTTTATTTATTGATATTATGGACATAAATAGTGATTCTAATAGGCTGACGGAAATAAAAAGTAGCGTGTCATCAGCGTAGAGTAAGAGACGTTGTAGTTCTGCATTATATAAGCCAGGGAGAGTCTATAGTTTCTGAATAAAAGAGGCTCAAGTACACAGCCTTGGGGATCCCCAGGTGGTCTTTGTTCATTCAGATTAGCGATCGAACAAATTGCAAATCTTATTTGTGACACTTTTTTTTTTTTTTTTAGAAGGTATCGCTACATCTGGTATGTTGAAGCAAAAATGCATCTAAATTGTGTAGGACTGAATTAATCCAGATGCTCTTAATGGACGAATCGAGCCTTTACAGAAAGAGACTGAGCAGCTAAAGCACCTTTTATTCAGACCCAAACAAATAAAGTAAAAAAAGAGACAATCTTCTCAGTCTCAATGTGTTTCAACTTCAACTAAAAGACAGGGCTTCCATAAACGTGTCTATTCGTTCTACCTCATTATATTTCCACGCTGTTATCTAAACGTCCTCTGAGTTTCCAACCAGTAATCATTCCGTCACAAAAGCGTCTATTTTCTTTCGCTAATGGTGAAATACTTTATCCAGGGAGACGAAGAACAATCCATTTGGAGATGATAACTGTGATAACTGCCGTTTATGGACTCACTCTCAGCTGCAGCCTTGGGCGAATGTCTTAAGATTTCATGAATATTTTGATTGATGCTGTAAAACATCCAAGCTGTGAAATCCAGTTTTCTAGGACTTTGTTATAAATAATGAAACTGATGAAAGTCTTCAAGATCTGGGCCAAGATGTTAACTCAAAGCAGCAGAACTTTGTTTTTCTGCCATTATCAATCAAGCTGCTGCAATAAATAATTGCTACTGTTTCGAGTTTCAGCTCATACATTTACTGACAAACTAACATTAAAATGGGAGATTTAAATGCAACAAACATTAAGGACACCTACGATGTTTGGATTTTTTTTGTTTTCTTTAGACACAATAATGATGTTTATTCTCAAACACTGTAAGTTACATATAGGCCTGTCATGTTAACACATTTTACTGGATGATTAATTGTCCCAGAAATCATTGAAATAAGTGATAACATTGACATTTTGAGACTTTTTTCAAATAAAAACTATAATTATAATGGAATATTAATGTGAGTACAACCTCTCAGTGATAAAAAAAAAAAACTTTTCTAACTCTTGAATTAGAAAACATTTTAAAAATACAAAATATACAAACAAAATAATAATAATTAAAATGGATTATGAAGTGTCTGCAACAAAAAAAAATAATTCAGCTAAGACAGGGAAAACAGGCAAAAGGGGCAGGAACTGCAGCTAACTACTTCCTATGAGGCTTATCACTTTTCAACAACGTTAAGGAATATTTCTAACGACTCATTTCAATTTATCATGCGATTAATTTATTTATTGCTTATTGTGACAGGTTTGGTTGTCTTAGTGACTCAGAGTAATACCTTGAACGATTTCCCTTCATAGAGACAGGAAGGCTTCAACGAAGAACATTCTGGACAGCATTTTCCCGGCAGATGAACAAGCTCTGATTCCTAAAACACAAACAAAAAATGGACAAATTAAACGTTTACTCAAATTTCTTACAAACATTCATTCATTCTACAATTTTCTTCATTGTTATGACACTGACATAGCCAGCTAGCCTGGTGGCTAACTAGCTAACCAGGCACATTTTAGAGCAATCTTCAAATAACGGCAAGTGTTGCCAACTCCTCAGTAAGAAAAGTGGCTATTGGCCGTCCTAAAACTTGCTAGATGACATCATCGCTTAATTTCCATATTTGGTCATGTTGATCCAGGAAGTAGAAAAAAGAACTATCAATGTTGGCAAAACAAAAAGTGATTAAAAATATGTTTAAATCTATAAATGAACATAATTAAATTTATATTTTTTTTCTTAATTTGAGAAAAAATTCTTTTGGCTTTTTCAAACAGAATAAAAACCTAATAGGAATGGTACAAAGAGGGAGAGAGAGAAGAGAAAAAAATAATGCAAATGGAAATTATTGACCTCAATTTATCATGTGATTAATAGATTTACTATTTATTAAAACAGGCTTATCTACTTAATTCATATAAATATAAGCATTTGGAAATTATAAATAAATGTTGGAAACAACTTTTTCCAACATTTATTGCACCTATATTACATTTCTGGCAACAGATTCCTATAAATTTAGTAACAACAACCAATAACTTCATAAAATAACCTAAACAGTTTGTTCTATTTCTTTCCTTTGGCCTTTGAAGGTTGTTCACAAGTCAAAAAGTCTCAAAGTCAGTGGAGCATGGCGTTATTAGTCGAGCAATCATAAACCAAACTATAAATATTAGTTCCTCCTTCTGCCTACCGAGTCAAAAATGCCATTAAACCCATAACCTTCTCTGAACTGTAACGAACACTGAAGCACGCACACTCCGGAAACTGAAAAGCTGCGGTCTTCACAGCAACGTGACCTTGTTCATTTCAGGGCTGGACAAGTGCCAGTTATGCCACTTATAGTAAATGGCACTTAACAGTTTCAATTATCACCATATAGTATGATTAATAGCATCTTATTGCGACCCCCAGAGGGATGTTAAAGCAATATGATTAAATCTGCTTCATTCCTGCCCACCTTACAGCAGACATCCACAATAAATAACGGAAACTCCAGTTATTGACCTTAAAAAATCTTTGGATTTGCCTAAAAACTCTCCAATAATCCAGAATCCCACATTACCAGCTACCCCAGGAGTCCTAATTACCAGATGAAGTCTCTATTTTAAACTGGAGCCGATTCCACATAATAAGACCATTATATGTGAAGCACAGAGAGAAACCCTGCAGCTGTCAGGTTAATTCATTTCTTTGGACCAAGCAGCACATTTTAAGGCTCTGCTTCTTCTCATTAGTTCCATCTTGTCTTTCAATTTGCTGCATCTTAACGAAGTGATTATCTGTGACAACCTTATAACCTTTAATGAATATCCTTTCTCCAGTTTCAGACAGTCTGGCGACATATTCTGGCTAAATGTAGAAAATGTAGGAAGAAAATAACTAAGCTGGCCTCGGTTAACTCTATAGTTGCATTTTAAAGAGACAATATAGGATTTTTGGGTGCAGGAGTGTCGCCCGTTAGTGAGGAAGAGTTCACATTAGCATTCATGGTTAATCCTGATTCACTGGATTTAAACTAAATGTGGCATTTAATCTGATAAAGGTTAAGGCTCAGCTGAAACTCCTGTAGTAAAGTTCGACACATGAATACTCTGAAAAGAACCAAACCGGCTTCATGCATTCACTCCTGCTTGGTGAGAAAAGTCCAGGGTTTCACAAATCCTGACTGAATCACAGATCCTGACTGAATCACAGATCCTGACTGAATCACAGATCCTGACTGAATCACAAATCCTGACTGAATCATAAATCCTGACTGAATCACAAATCCTGACTGAATCACAAATCCTGACTGAATCGTCTTGGTTACAAACCAACACTGAAGTTTTTCATAAAACCTCCTTCACAGAAAAAAAAGTTTTCCTTTGTTTAGGGATGAATTAGTGACAAAAGCTTTAATATTGTTAAAAAGATATTTTGCTTTATTTACTGTGACAACTATTAGGAATGAATAGATATGGAAATTTGGGTTGATAATAATAACCAATAATAATATTGGTGTTATGATCGATAATCAGTTTTTACCAATATAGATATCATTAAAAATATCAGTTCATATGAATGAACATGATGGATGAATGGTTGGTTGGTTGGTTGGTTGGTTGGTTGG